AAGAAAAACTTAAAAATAAACGTTACGCATCTCCGTATAGTATGCATCTGTGAATATAATCTCTCTGTGTGAGACACACACATACAGAGGAATTATATTCACACACACACATACACCCTTTGGAGCATTTTAACACTAGATACTCTATTGGCGCCATTTTGGTCAAATGCCTTTCCAGCCTCTATTTCAAAGCCGCCATTGATGGAGCACCCACAACTTCTGGAGGCAAGGAGTTCCACTGGTTAATTGTTCTCACTGTCAGGAAATTTCTCCTTAGTTCTAGGCTGGATCTCTCCTTCATACATTTTCATCTGCTTGTCCTGCCCTCTGAAGCTTTGGAGAATAATCCCCTCAAACATAGGAAGGTCTCTCCTCCAATCTTTCTCTTAGGCTTCAAGGCCTCCAGAAGTTGTGGATGCTTCAACACTGGAGGTGTTCAGAAGAGACTGGACAACCATTTGTCTGAAATGTTTCCTGCTTGAACAAGGGGTTGGACTAGAAGACCTCCAAGACCTCCAAGACCTCCCTTCCAACTCTATTAGTCTGCTCTAGACATACCTAGCTCCTTCAACTGTTCGTCATACAGTTTGGCCTCCAGACCCTTGATCATCTCCGTTGCTCTTCCCTACACATTGATGTCTTCTCTGACATCGGTTACAGGAACTGGGTACGTCTCGTTTAATGAAAAGAGAGACCGGGGTGGACAAGATAGCAGTCTTCCAATATTTGAGGGGCTGCCCCAAAGAAGAAGGGGGGGTCAACCTCTTCTCCAAAGCACCGGAACACCGGACAAGAAACAAGGGATGGAAACTGATCAAGGAGAGAAGCAGCCTAGAAATTTCCTGACAGCAAGAACAATTCATCGGTGGAACGACCTGCCTCCAGAAGTTGTGGCTGCTCCAACACTGGGGGGTTTGAAGAAGAAATTGGACAACCTGGAATGGTAGAGGGTCTTTGGCTTGACTAGAAGACTTCCAAAGTCCCTTCCCACGCCTTCATTCTGTTGTTGTTATTCACCCGTGGAACAGAAAGCAATCCATTTTTTTTTCATGGCCCTGAGGGGGGGGGCTTTCTCCGTGGCTCAGATTGAATGCTTTCTGCCCATCTTTGAATCAGCAGAAAATGATGCCAACATGACATTCGGCTTTACTTATTGCTTACTCCTCCCCTGCTCCTTGGCTTTCCTCTGAGCTGACCCAGCCCAACAAATTTCACATTCCTTGAGCTGCGCTCAGAATGCCGTTGGGAGGATGGCGAGAAGACCGTTTTAGCTCTGATGGAGCAGAAAAAGACCACTTAAACCTGTCTGTGTCACAGGTAGGGGACAAAGTGAAGACCCCGTTGGGTAGGGGTCTTGCAGAAAAACAGAGGATACAGGTAAGTCCTCAATTTACCACCACAGCCGAGCCCAAAATTTCGGCTGCTAAACGAGACATTGGTTCAGGGAGTTTTGCCCCGTTGGACCACCTTTTTTCTCCCAGACGCTAAGCGAAACACTGCAGTTCTTAAGCTACTCACATGGTCGTTAAGCGAGTCCAGCTTCCCCCTTGACTTTGCACGGCCGAAGGTCACAAAAGGGGATCACAGCGACTGATAAATATGAGCCGGTTGCCAAGCGTCCGAATCTGGATTGCGTGTCCATGGGGGGGATGCTGCAACAGTTGTGCAAAAAACACTTTTTTTTTCAGTGCTCAACGGTCACTAAATGGACTGTTGTAAGCCAAGGACTCCCTTTGTTTGGTGAAGTGAGACAGGCTCTTAGAACAGACTGGATGGGGAACAAAAATGCCCCCCGAATTTTACAGTTATGGCCTTTTGTGGCAGGTTACCTAAATAGTTCGGGCTTAGTAAAATTTTAAATGTCCAGTTTTATAGAGACCGGTGGGGGGAGGAGGGATTAAGCCATCTATGGGTAGTCCTCAACTTTTGTCGATTCATTTAATGACTGTTCAGCGTTACGATGGAGCTGAAAAAAAAACTAACTTAACAATCAAGTCCTCACACTCATGACTGTCGCAATCGCAGATCCAAATTCAGGCGCTTGCAACTGACACAGATTCACGACGGTTGCGGCATCTCGGGGGGGGGGGTTTACATGATCCCCTGATCACCTTCCTAGCAAGCAAAGGTTCATTTAACAACCTCAAGATTCGCTTAATGTCTGCACTGATTCGCGTTAACCCCCGTGGCAAAAAAAAAAGGTTGTAAAATGGGACGTAACTGCCTTTAGCAATGATCTCGCTTAGCAAGGGCAATCTTGGGCTCTGTTGCAGTTCTAAATTGAGGGCCGCCTGTAAAGGAAGGGTGTTTTTATATATGCAAATTCATTTTGGAACAGAATATATATATATATATATTTGTTTTCTGAGGTTTTCGCGGGTGTTTGTATGTAGGTCTTTGGTTGTTCGGATTTTCTCCCGCGTAAAATTGGAAGTGTCTTGGCGACGTTTCGATGAAGTCCCATTCATCATCTTCAGGCTGGTGTTTTCAGCTTCGTGCTTAACACATTGCTCCTAGAAGCACGAAGCCAAAAGCACCAGCCTGAAGATGATGAATGAGACTTCGTCGAAATGTCGCCAAGACACTTCCAATTTTACGTGGGAGAAAACTCGAATAACCAAAGACATATATATATATATACATATATATATATTTCATTCCTCTCAAAGGACTGGAGCTGATATTTCTGCTGGAGAGAAAAAATTGGTTAGAAAGAAGTTCCCCACTTGAACCGATGCAAATTGGTGATGCAAATCGGCATGTTATATTTAGAGACTCAATTAGTGTTTTGCAAATCAAGCCCCGGTTTTATCGGCTTCCGTGGCGCAGACTTTTATTGGCAGGGAAGAAATCAATGTGGTTGCGTGCTCTGGGTGCGAGGACGCCACGGGCCTTCCTGGGAAAAGTTCAGAAATGGTGAGGTGCCACACGTGGCTTTTTCTCACTTATAATCAGCTGCTGGTTAGACCATTTCAGAGGCATTTGAGGAGAGGGGGGACTTAGGAGAATTAGAGGGCCACTTGAGGTGGGGTTAGGAAGAGGAGATGTCTGCCACGGCTTTGCAAAAGGTCTGTGAGCTTTGGAAGGTTTTCTTCAGTTTGGACAACACAGTGAACAGCAAACTCCTTCCTTCCTTCCTTCCTTCCTTCTTTCTTTCTTTCTTTCTTTCTTTCTTTCTCTCTTTCTTTCTTTCTTTCTTTCCAACTTTCCTTCCTCCCTTCCTCCCTCTTTCTTTGCCTTTGCTTTAACTATTTGGCCTCCCATGTTAATAGAACAGAACAGCAGAAGGGACCCTGGAGGTCTTCTAGTCCAACCCCCTGCTCAAGCATACATCATTCCAGACACACATGGTTGTCCAATCTCTTCTTTAAAACCTCCAGTGTTGGAGCACCCACAACTTCTGGAGGCAAGTCGTTCCACTGATTAATTGTTCTCACCGTCAGGAAGTTTCTCCTTAATCATAGCTTGCTTCTCTCCTTGATTAGTTTCCATCCGTTCTTTCTTGTCCTGTCTTCTGGTGCTTTGGAAAAATAGGTTGACCCCCTCCTCTTCTTTGTGGCTGCCCCTTAGATATTGGAAGACTGCTATCATATCCCCCCTCGTCTGTCTTTTCCTTAAAATTAGACATACCCAGTTCCTGCCGCTCATTCTTCATGTTTTAGCCTCCAGCTCCTTAATCCTCTTTGTTCCTCTTCTCTGCACTCTTCCTAGAGTCTCAACATCTTTTGGATATCGTGGTGGCCAAAACTGGATGCAATATTCCAAGTGTGCAATGCTCAGTTCCCAGGGACATGCAAGGATGAACGTGTGGCACACTCAAAGGGCAGCGGGTTAATGAGTGATGGTCTAATTTCCTCTCTCTGTCCCATTCTCTATTTTTTTGCAAAGCCCATCCTGGCTTATTAGGCTGGGCAGGGGAGCCAGAAATGATTTAGTTCTGTGGCTGAACATTGGCGTTTTGTATGAGCCAGCAAGGTCAGCTGGTGTGGAAAATCCCAGGGACTGAATCTTGAAACAGGGCATCCACACCCTCTCCTCTGCATAGGTTATGGGCCCAAGGAGTTGATATTTCAATGCTTGTGAGGGTAGGGGATGGAAAAGGCAGTTTTGAGCTGGGGGGGGGGGGAAGACGTGGAAGAAGACAGCTGGAGCATGCCGGAATGCAAAACAGCTGAGCAAAGTCTTAAGCAAAAAGCTGAAATTGGAAACAATTTCTAAATTTATTATCTGGGTGTGGACAGTCCTTTGGATTCTGGGTCACAGACAAGAGGGATGTAATTCTTTCTCTCTCTTTCTCTCTCTCTTCTATCTTTCTGTCTCCCTCTCTTCCTTTCTCTGTTTCTCTCTCTGTTAGTCTCTCTCTTTCTCTCTCCTTCCTTCTCTCTCTTTCGTTCTCTTTTTCTCTTACTCTCCCCGTTTCTCTGTCAGTCTCTCTTTCTCTCTCCTTCCTTTTCTCTTTCTCTCGTTTTCTTTTTCTCTCTTACTCTCTCTCCCCCTTTCTCTGTTCCTCCCTCCCTCCCTTTCTCTCTCTCTCTCTCTCTCTCTCTCTCTCTCTCTCTCTCTCTCTCTCTCAGAAATAAAGATTGGTGTATCTTAAGTAGAAAAAGGTTTTGTCATCCAGAATTCTGAGAAAATTCACACCTAAAGTCGCCTTCTCTATTCCTGTTTCCGGTACCCTTTGATAGCCCAAAATTTTGTAGAACTTTTTGTTTGTCTAAGAGAAAGACTAGGGCTGACATGATAGCAGTCTTCCAATATTTGAGGGGCTGCCACAGAGAAGAGAAGGTCAGCCTCTTCTCCAAAGCACCAGAAGGCAGGACAAGGAACTATGGAAACTAACCAAGGAGAGAAGCAACCTGGAATTAAGGAGAATCTTCCTAACAGTGAGGACAATTAACCAGTGGAACAGAAGCTGTGGCTACTCCATCCCTGGAGGTTTTTAAGAAGAGATTGGACAAGTCTTTGTCCAAAATGGTATAGGGTCTCCTGCTGGAGCAGAGGGCTGGACTAGAAGACCTCCAATGTCCCTTCCAACTCTGCTCTTCCATAATTCTGTAATCTCCATAATTTGCATAATTTCAGAAGCACCAGCCCATCCAGTGAACTACTCTGTCTTCAGTTCATCGTTCCTGGAATTTATTTTTTTCTGCTTAGGAGAACAGAGAAGCCAAATTTTCAGTAGCAGCCGAATTCCACACATGGATTTAGAAAAAAGATTATTTGTTGGCTTGCCCTACAGCAAGGCCAAGCAAACATTCCACAAAGCGGCCAGACTATTAAGTGTCTTTCTCGAGACACACCAAAGTGGTTTTTTTTATTGATCGTATCTCAAATCTTTGCAACCACCTTGTGTGTGTGTTTGCACGTGTCTACGAGTCCTCCCCGACTTGCTCATTTAGCAACCGTTAAAGTTACAACGGCACTGAAAAATAGGGACTTCACACTTAACGACCGTCACAGCACCCCTCCCAGGGTCACGTGATCGAAATCCAGAAGCTTGGCAACTGACTCGTACTTACGACGGTGGCGGCATCCAGGGGTCACGTGACTTCCTTTCACGACCGTCTGACAAGCAAAGCCAGATTCACTTCACAGCCGTGTTACCAACTTAACGACTGCAGTGAGTCAGTGTGGCCAAAAAGGTCGTTAAATGGGGCAAAATTCACTGAATCGGTGTCTCCCTTTGAAACTTTGGGCTTTATTCTTTATTCTCGAGGACTTGCCTGTATTTGGAAACATTTTTGGAACCTTATAAGAAAACTGTTGAGGAAGGGAAACAGATGACCGAGTGATCAGCAGTTAAAAATGTTTACAGCGACGCTCAGAAAATTCACAAGATTTGTCATCGGAGTTGCTAATGTGAGGAGGCTGATTGTTAGAACAGAGGTTTCCGTTCTGTCCTTCGGCTCTTGGGCAGGTCCCGAAGAAACACAGGTTGTACCTTTGTGTGTTTGTGGTGAAGGGTGAGGTTAGGTTCCACCTGGACTGTTGTAATTCTGCGTTGTGATTGTAGCCTTGCAGAAAACGAAGAGAGAGAGAGAGAGAGAGAGAGAGAGAGAGAGAGAGAGAGAGAGAGAGAGAGATGAGCTGAAATATTACAGTGAGCTAAGGCAGAGATTGTGGTCAGGTTTTATTTATTTTGTATCGCACCTTTATTATTTTTTATAAACAACTCAAAGCAGTGAACTCCTTTCTCCTCTTCTTTTCCCCACAACACCAATCTTGCAAGGTGGGCTGGACTGAGAAGGAGGGACTGACCCAAAGTCACCCAGCTGGCTTTCATGCCTAAGGCAGGACTAGAACTCACAGCCTCCTGGTGATTGGCGCAAAGTCACCCAGCTTTTGTGCCTTAAGGTGGGACTAGAATTCACCTTCTTCTGGTGATTGGCCCAAAGTCACTCAGCTGGCTTTCATAGCTAAGGCAGAACTAGAACTCAGTCCCCTCTTTCTACACTAAACTAAATTGGTCCTCATTTTAGAGTAGCATGCAAATACTTTTCAGCCAATGTATAAATATTTCGTCTCTTCGTATGTACCCGATGATTGCATTTGTTTCTATGTAAGGCTGTAGGACTATACATATGTTGCAGATAGCATGTTTTAAATGTGTGTTGTGCATGTGTACACTTGAGAGCAAGAAACTACATTTCATTTTTAATGTGTGCTGTTGTGCCCACAGGGGGAAAAAAATGACAAGAAAGGTTATCTCATCTCATCTCATCTTTCTTGGTGGTGGTGATGACAACTGTGGGTTTAGATGAAACTTCCTTTATGTATTTTAGGTGTTAAATGTGTTGGCCCCTATTTTACTAGGGGGTTACTCTAGGCAGTGAAGATGCCAGGAACATGGGCTTGGTGAAGGACAAATAGGGAGAGATATTTCACCTGTGACGGTTGCAAGAAGACATCCATGTTTCCAACGGAGGCGATGGCTAACTTCAACAAAAGCATTTATGAAGGAAGTCAGATAAAGCTCAGTTGCATCTAACAATTATACATCTGCATCTAAGAATAGATGTATTCTTAGCAACGGAGGGTGGGAATATTAGTATAAAGCATTTCCTGCATCTCAGGGCGTAAAGGTGATAGGAGCCAAATGAATAACTCAGAGTTTTCCTCTGTGACTGGGCGGCATACCAAATTCCCAAGCTGTGGGCAAAAGTGCCTCACAAAAGTCACCCAGCTGGCATTCACGGCGAGGCGGGACTAGAACTTGCCATCTCTGGGTGATTAGCCCAAAGTCACTCAGCTGGTTTCTGCATCAGTACTCCCAACTTCCTGGTTATTGGCCCAAAGCAGGGGTCTTCCAACTTGGCCCTTTGATGACTTGTGGACTTCAACTCCCAGAATTCCTCAGCCAGCTGGCTTCATAAGTCACTTTTTCCAAGGCTGTTGCAACTTCAAACCATCACTAAACTGATGGTTGTTCATGGATGACTCCCTGTATTTTATTACAGCTTGCAAAGCCACGGTCGACCCTTTCGATACAATCTGCGAATCTCATCTAGTTGTGGCTTGTTCCCCAAGTTAAGATAAAGGCAGCTTGTGGTTCCCTGTGAACTCGGCCTGTATCTCCGTCTTTTTCTCATGCCACAAAGTCTTGTCTAACCACGCAAGGCTGGCCTCTCCCCTGCTGGAGAATAGCTGCTTGATGATCTGCTGGATACCACGGACAGCTTCCCACCTCAAGGATATTTTTGTGTTGCGTCCCCCACTTGTGCTTCCATGAGTTGGGAGGGTCCCTTCCCGGCTGACCTACAAGGCAGGCTTTCTATGAGCCTTTTGATGACAAGTTGACTCAACTCACATTGTGGAATGCCATAATGTTTGTGCCGCTAACTCCAGAAGACTGGAGAGTCATTCATTAGATCCTGGTCCTGTAAGAGATGCTTGTTCTCTCCGTATCCACAAATCTTCGCTCGGCCGACCTAGTTGTTGGCGTTTGGGGGGTATTATGGGCTGTAACTTTCCATCCTGAAGAAGCATTTCCAAAGCATTTTTAGCTCAAATAGGGAATCCCTTCTATCAGAGATGATGTAGATGGTCTACCATTCTTTCGGTTGGTACAGGAATGGTGGACATCAGTTGGGGATGTCTCAATTTCATTTAAATATAAGGAAAATGTTCTGTGAAGATAGGAGTCTTCTCTTCTCTGATGGTTTTCAAGAAAGGGTAGATAGTGGTTGTCCTGCATATCGTGAAGGGTTCAACCACACGATCCTTGCGTCTTTTTCCAACTCTGCAGTTCCTTCCTTCCTTCGTCCATCCATTCGTCTCTGTTCAGGGGAGATGGTCGATGGTCTACAACTCTTTCCCTTGCTACCTAACCCGAAAGATTGGGTATTGGTTGTGGGTACTTCTAGCGTTCCGAATTCTGTGCTGCCTCAGTTTCTTTTAAATGCAAGGGAAACGTTCTTGGTAGCAAGAGTCCACCTGTGGGAGGTGGTGGTTTCCCACCTGTGGTGGCTTTCAAGACAAAGCTGGAGAACCACCTCTCGGTGACTGTTTCACTGGTGGTCCTGCACGTAGTAGCAAAGGGCTCAGCTAAATGATAATTGAGGTTCTTTCCAACTCTGTGGCTCTTTTGGAATCACAGAGTTGGAAGGGGCCTTGGAGGTCGTCTAGTCCACCCCCTGCTCAAGCATTACAGACAAGTGGTTGTCCTATCTCTTCTTAAAACTCTCTAGTGGTTCCTTTCCCTTCCCTTCCCTTCCCTTCACCTCACCTCACCTCACCTCACTTCACTTCACCTTCTTTCCTCCCTCCCTCCCCTCTTCTCTTCTCCCCTCCTTCCCTCCATCCCCATCTTCCTTACTTTCCCTTCTTTCTTTCCTTCCTTCCTTCCTTCCTTCCTCCCTCCCTCCCTCCCTCCCCTCTTCTCTCCTCCCCTCCTTCCCTCCATCCCCATCTTCCTTCCTTCCTTCCCTTCCTTCCTTCCTTCCTTCCTTCCTTCCTTCCTCAACCCCTTGCTCAAGCAGGAGACCCCATTCCATTCGGGGCAAATGACTGTCTAGCCTCCTCTTGAAAATCTCCAATGATGGAGCAAGCACCTACAACTTCTGGAGGCAAGTCGTTCCGCTGATCAATTGCAGGAAATTTCTCCTTATTGCTAGGGCGAGAATGTCGCTTTTTCTTCTCCGGAAAAATATGAGTCGGCTTGGAGAGGTTTCAGGATGTCTTCTCAGCCTGGGAAATCTTTCCAAAACATTTCCTTTCCTTTATTCTTCAATGGCTGTTTATTGAGATCCCCAGATGCAGCAAGGGCCTCCGTGATAGGCTTTCAAAGGGAGGACCAGTGGGAGAACTTTAACCTGGGCGGGGGGGGGGGGAATTGTTTTAAGGGGAGGGTGTTGCCTCCCCAAACCTCAACTTTGCATTGTGTTATTTTTAAGCTGAGAAGTTGGAAGCGCTTTTTGGATTTTTGCCCAAACAGCTGGTTTTCTCTATGAGTTTGAGCTGAATGGAAGCGAAGAGAGGAAGGAGAGAGAGAGGAAAAAAAACAACCTTAGCATCAAACGGAAGTGGCCCCCGCCTAGCCTGGTTGGCACCGACACGCAACAGCTGTCTCTTTTTGGACCGTTTTGGGTATTTGAGGCGAGGAATTACTTAAGGATAAGCTGTGGCTTTTTTTAAACAAAAAAACGAAAAACAGGACTTTGGAGTTTTAGCGAGAAACTTTCTTTGTTGGCTTTAACGGATTACAACTTTTTTTTTTTTTAAAAAAAAAATTAAGTGCAGTTGGGAAAGTTGTGTCTAGCAACTCTGGGTCTCTCTGAAACGTCACGGAGTTTTCTTAGTCCCGGTGGCAGAGATTTTGCTTGGCTAAAGAATGTTTATCTGAGATCACTTTTCCAGGGTGTTCAGAGCAGAGTACCACAATAGTAAGCAAGAGGATGGACCCTAGGAATTATATGCAGGCAGTCCTCAGCTTACAATGAGTGGCAGGGTGGTGAGGACACTTTCCTCCCACTCGGAAAGTTGAGAGTTGAATCCTAGGCAGTGGCAGATGTTTCTCTCTCCTAGGGCGCAAAGAAAAAAAAAATTTGCTGTGAACTCTTGTGTAGGCATCAGGAAGGGCATCCAGCCAGTAAATGCTCAGTCACTGGAGCTTTTCAAGAAGAAATTAGAACAGCCGTTTGTCCAGAATAGTAAAGGGTCTCCTGTTTGAACAAGGGGTTGGACTAGTAGACCTCCAAGGTCCCTCCCAACTCTTATTCTGTTACATAGGAGATGATTAGAGCCTATCCATTGCACCACCCTATGGCGAGACCATTCCATTGAAAGCTTGATTTGAAGTTGTAGGAGAAGAAGAGGCAGACCTTGGTGGAGTCAAGAGAGGAACCAGTCCAGAAGCATTAAGTTCCCACAAGTGATCCAGGTCCAGACACCCCTCCCTCCCCCGGAATCCTCTTAACTCTTATCTAGCACCAATTTAGTGCTGACCACAAGTTGACTTGTGTAGAGGCACAGACGACATGTCATCTTATCTGGAACTCAGTGTGTGGTCCAGATTCTTCCTGTCTGGCAGATGTTTAGAACAAGGTCTTTTGAGAGCTGTTGCATTTATGTAACCTTCTGCTGATGCATCATCGGCAGAGCTATTTTTGGCTCTGATTTGTGGCAGAACCCTTGGCGATGACCACGTGTTTTGGAGGAATCAGCCTCACTGTTGACCTTTCTGCTCTGTTTCTAGTGTCTTTCCTTCCTCCGAAATCTCGTTTTCATTCCAAAAAAAAAAAAAAAAGCAGTGGGCCTTTTTATTCCTTTAAGTTGCAGATTTCTCCAGAAATCTTCTCTGAAGACATTCCTTGGGGAAGTAGGACCGATCAGTTCCTCCACCTTCTCTGTCTCTCTTCTTCTCTCCTTGCTGTTCTCCAACTAAGGCTATTGATGGCTGTCCATAACACGAGAGAGGTGATGGAGAACATCTCTAT